CTATTATTGTCTTCCTAAACAAGGAAGAGATGTGGATGATGCCTTCTGAAAGCAAATTGCAGATTTTACAAAAAGCAGGAAGTTGGAGGGATGGGAGATTTAATTACCCAGACATCTGTTAGAAGACAAACTCTGTCAAACACTATCCTTCCAGGAAATTCCCGGCTTCTCTTGCTGACAGGTTTCTTCTTCAGAGGTTAGAAGAGGGCACAAGAGGATCAGCTCCCACCAGTCAAAAAGGAGGATTTAGTTGAGGAAGCATAACTAGCAGAAAAAGTGCAGAAAAGCGATTTTGTAATGCTAGTATTCTCCATTTTAAGAGAATGTGTAAAATTGAGCATAGTCAAACATGTATCTTGGAATTAAAAAATAGATTTTAATAGAATTAGAGCAGTGACAAGTAGGATCACAGGGTAGGAGAAGCTACTGGAAAAAGGAGCTCAAGATGACTGAGAGTTCCTAAAGGAAAGGATATTAAAAATATAATAACAAACAATTCCAGGCAGAAGAAAAAATAAGGAAAACAAAATAAACCAACATAGCTAAACAAATAGCATAAGTGAAAAGCTGAAAACAAAAAAAGGATACATACAGGAAAGTCATGAAGAAATGGGACAGAAGCTCAGGACCCATTAAAGAGCTAATTAAAAAGAGAAGAAAAGTGTTGGCATCCAAGTCCTCAACACAAAAGGTAAAATGCTAACATATAACATGGAAAAGTTGGAGCTACTCGACTCTAACAAAAATCTGTATGTGCCATCAAGAAGTCAGAATGAAGGGGCAGGACTGAAGTCTCAGATTCATAGAAATGTGATCAGGGAAAACCTCTTTACTTTGAATGAGTAAATTTCCAAGACCAGATGAACTACATCCCAGGGATGTATCTTTGAGAATCCTGAAGAACCGGTTATGCCTGAAGACTGTAGGAGAACAAATATCCTTTTTCTTCAAAATGGGAAAAAGGAAAATCAAACAAAAACTGACTAGTCTGGTATCAGTACCTGAGTAGATTCTACAGTAGATCATAAAGAGATTGATTTGTAAACATACTGAAAACAATAGCAAAAGTCAGCATGGATGTGTCAAGAACAAATCTTGCCAAGCTAAACTTATCTCATATTTTTGACTGGTTAATTTTCTATGTAGATTGTGGGAATACTCTAGAATAATATACAGATTATGCAAAGACCTAGTGAAGACCTGGAGGAGGTTCTAATGCTGGGAAAGTTGGAAGGAAAGAGAAGAGGACAACCAGCAGCAAGGTGGATGGATTTAGTTACAGTGGTGATGAGGGCACTGTTGTAAGACCTGAAAGACCAGGTTAGGGTCATAGAGAAAATCTATCTATGTGGTCACTAGGAGTTGAAAATGACTTGATGGCACATAATCAATTAATCAAAGTATTTGACAAAGGACCTATACTATGCTGATTAGCAAACTACTTTACTCTGATTTATATGGCAAGATAATCAAACGGATATATATCTGGCTCTTACTCAAAGAGGGCCCATGAATAGATCCATACCAAATTGGACAAAGATATCAGGCAGGGTGCCGGAAAGAGGAGTCCCTTACTCTTTAATATTTTTACTATTGATTTAGATGAGATGGAGAAAGTTCTTTTGCAGAGGATAGAAATCGGGTGGGATAGTTAATACCCAAAAAGATAGAAATAGAGCACAAAACAATCTTCAGGTTGAAGAAATGGACTGGAAGTAACAGAATGAAATTTAAGTGCTAAGTGCAATGTTCTTCAATTAGGAAATAAAAATCAGAGGCAGGACAGGGGATTCCTGGCTTCTGATAATATCTTGGAATAGTACTTGTTTATAAGCTAAATACGTACCATCAGTGTGTTGAGGCTACAAAATAGACAAATGCAATTTTTCATTGTACTTTCCAAATCAAAGAAGGTAATTGTTCCACTCTATTCTGTTTTGGTCTGACCCCACCTTGAGGGCTGTGTTTAGTTTAGGGCATCACTTTGTAGGAGAAAATAGATTAGGTTCAGTGGTCAGTGAAATTATCACAGAAGTAGAAATCAAGTCCTATGAAGAGAGGGGAAAGAACTGGGTAAATGTGAGAAGGGACAGGATTGCATTCTTCAAATAGTTGAAAGAATGTAGCATAGAATGTCAGTAATTCTGTCTCATTCCAGAGACAGGATATGGAACAATGGGTTTAAGTTACAGAAAGAGTTAGTTATAGAAGCAGCTATAAGGAATCCTGTGCTTCAATTCTATATGTATAGTTCAGAATAAATATGTATAAGATTGCACAGATAGGATCCAGCAGCTTGAAGTTCCATTTTAAACCATGGGGTATATTTTAATTATTATTGAACACAGCAAACGAATGTACACTTTTACATTTTGAAAATATACCAAACAGAACGATTTAATATATAAAATTTGATACACATTTTTTTTATTGCTAAGGCATTTGACCTCATTTGGCTTTATGAACACTTTTTATCTAGTAAAGTATCTAAAAGCATTCCAACTTGTGGTATAAATGAATGTTTTTGTCTCTCTTTTTCTACCTATCAAGGCTTTCTATTTGCCAAGGCCTAAGGAAATAAGTTTGACTTAACGGTTAGATTTTATAACACCCCTCCCTTGCTCTGAATTTCTGTTTTTTAAAAGAAACTTGGAATGATTTCTTATTATCAAAACCTGCACTCATAGTGATATGTTCACACCCCTTCTTTTGATGCATCCCATCAAACAGTACTACAGACCCGTAAGTGTTGCAGTTAGTGGAAAGCTACAACAATTCCACTCACACCTCACCTTGCTGTACAGTTGACTGGTACCTTCCTGGTTTTGACTGGTTCCTTCCTGATTTTGGCTGGTTCCTTCCTGGTCTTGACTGGATCCTTCCATGTGATACCTTGCTGCACTCCTAAAATTCCCAAGCCACCATGTTCATCTGGACAGAAGAATCAATATCGGGCACTCTGAGTGACAGAAGAGAGGCTAGGAGGGCTTACTGTTCATTTACAGTCCTGTCCAGTTGTCAAGAAAGCCTACATGGCCTGAAGCCTCCTCTCCTTCAACCCACATAATCCCACGCAGGCACGAGCATTGGGGAGGGCTAATGGAATGTCAGCCTAGTACCATCCAGAGCATCATAGGTTTCCCATCCTGGCTAAGGATGATGGCAGTTGTAGTCTAACCCATCTGGAGGGCTGGGGAAACTGCTCTAGAACCTGCAAGTCTGATTAGGATAAAAGACATTTTCCACTCACGAGAAAAAGTTAAAAATTGTACATACTTGGTGTACCAATCTGTGGACAGTGTAGGTGAAATGAAAGGGGCAAAGAATTATATCATGTTCCTTTACTTGTTTAGACCATTAACAGATAATTTACAACCCATTCATGCTATCTGCATTCCTTGGCTATTACAGTTTCAAAGCTTGACCAGGAAATTTTCCCTCCAAGGCTTATGTAGTAGCACCACAATCTATAGGAAAGGCAGAAGCTCGTTTAATCTGCAGGAGTTTAATTCAGAAAAAAACAAAACAAAACAAAAAAACAACCCTCATTATACTGCATTTGGATGTGCATATAGTGCTAGTTTATAGTACCCATATGACGACCAGATCCTCTGGGCTTTCACAAGATCCTCGGAGTTGTCTTTCCAACTGCCATCCTGTGAGGTAGAATCTTTTGCCTCTGTGATGTCACTTAGGCTCAGACCGGACTTTTCTTTGGAAACTGCAAAGCGTAGCCTAATGTCTTCTGTTATAATTGTATATTCAAAGACCGGCCCTTTAATCCAATGTCAAAAACTTCTTTTTTTCTTTCTATGTCTTCAAGTCAGAGTTGACTCCTGGCAACTGCCTGGACAAGTCCCTGCAGTTTTCTTGGAAAGATTTTCAGAAGCGGTTTGCCATTGCCTGCTTCCTAGGGGTGAGGGAGAGTGACTGGCCCAAGGTCACCCAGCTGGCTTTGTGCCTAGGTCAGAACTAGAACACACGGTCAGCTGGTTTCTAGCCCAGTGCCTTTAACCACTACACCACACTGGCTGTCAAAAAGTACAGAAATGTTAAATGAATCAAGTGAAAGGCTTTACAGTGGGGGGCAACAACAAAATAAGCTGAAAGTCACTTTAAGCACA